ATGCTCACCTGTCATCCCAGCCACAGGGAAGCACAAAGAGGAAGGTAACAGTCCAGGCTGACCAGGGCAAGAATCATAATCCCGTCCCCAAAATAACAAATGCTACTGGCTCATGCCATAATCCTACTTAGGAGGCTGAGATCTAAGGATCATAGTTCAAAGGCAGCCCAGATAGAAAAGATAAGGAAACAATCATCAGAAAGTGGGAAGTGGAGCTGTGGTTGTAGTGGTAGAGCACTAGCCTTGAGCAAAAATCTAAAGGCAGAGCCAGGCACAGGTGGCTTACACCAGTAGTCTTCTGGAATCTGAGAAATGGCTGGAAAGTCTGTGAAAAGCTTATCTCCAATTAACTACCAGAAAACCAGAAGTGGTGCTGTGGCTCTAAGTGGTAGAACCATAGCCTTGAGTGAAAAAGCTAAGGACAGTGCCCAGGCCCTGAGTTCAAGCCCAAGGAACAGCATAAAAATAAATAAAAAAATAAAATAAAATAAAATTCTGCCAGAAGCAAATGGATCATGTCTGTACTCCTAGATATTCAGGGGGCTGTGATATGAGGATTGCTTTTTTTTTTTTTTTGGTGGTCACGGAGCTTAAACTCTGGGCTTGGGCACTGTCCCTGCGCTCTTCAACTTAGCTCTTCAACTTAATGCGAGTGCTCTACCACTTGAGCCACAGTGCCACTTCTGGTTTTCTAGAGGAGATAAGAGTCTCAAGGATCTGCCGGGGCTGGCTGGCTTTGAACCGTGATCCCTAGATCTCCTGAGTAGGATTATAGGCGTGAGCCACAAGCACCTGGCTGAGGATTGCTATTAGAAAACAGCCTGGGCAGGCAGGAAAGTTTGTGAGACTTATCTTCAATTAAACACCATAAACAAACAAAAAACCAGAAGTAGAGCTCCAGTGAGAGATCACTACCTTGATCAAAAAACGCTCAGAGGCTCAGGGACAACACACAATGCCCTGGCCCTGAGATCAAGCCCTAGGACTGTACACATGCACGTGCACATACAGGGACATGGACACGGACACGGACACAGACACCCAGACACACAAACACAGACATACACAAAATGATGAGGGCTAAAAGGCCCGAGTGCCTCAAGTATTAAAGCACCTGCCCAATGAGCATAAGGCTCTGAATTCATACCTAAGTACCACCAAAAACAGAAAAGAAAGAAAGAAAAAAAAAAGAACACCATACAGATGAAGTCATCTCCCATGGTAGCCATCACTGGGTTTTTCCAAAGAACTATTCTCTCCCTTTCTAGTTAGTAACAGATCTCAATCTGGTTGGGCATATTTATATACTCAGCCCTAAGGATCAAATCATGATTAGTCTAAACCAGATCTGGTAAAGACAACTAACTACCGTTATGAATAGTCTGTGGATGGCAAATGACCCATGAGCTCTAAGGAGAAATCTGCTAGGAAGCTTCTGGGAAGGGTTTTCCTATTTAGTTAAAACAGGGGCAAATAAATCCCTGAAAACCTCAAGGTTTTTTTATTCCCAGATGCCTTTCACACCTAAGGAAGCTTGGCTAGAAAGCCTTTTAAGGTCTGGTCCAAGGTCTGTCTGTTCCTCTTTCCCTCTTTGCTTCTTCAGGTGCCTCCATGGGCTCCAGAGACATGACAAAACCATCTGGGACAAAAGACTAATCTTTCAGTTTTAGGAATAGTAGAGATGCTACTGTTGCTAGGTTACTCAAGCTGTCAGCACAGACTTAACCAAGACTCTTATGCCATAGGTGACAGAGGCGCCTAGGCCTTCTTCATTTTCTCACTTGAATTCTACCGGCAGCCTAGTAACTGAGCAGGCCATTTCTAAGATGCACGTTTATTTATTTGTTTAAAACCTTTCACTTGTTCCTTGCTGTCTCCAAAAGGGGTGACACTATGGGCCACATCTGATCTACAGATGTATTGATATTTTGCTTGTACACAGCTAAGAAAAACAAGAACTAGGATGGGGGATAGTTCAGTGGCAGAGCTCTTGTCTAACTGAGCAAGGATTGGGATTTGTTTAAAAAAGAAAAAAAAAAAAGACAGGGCTGGGAATATGGCTTAGTGGTAGAGTGCTTGCCTAGCATGCATGAAGCCTTGGATTCCATTCCTCAGAACCACATTAACAGAAAAAGTTGCTGGGCGCCGGTGGCTCATACCTATAATCTTAGCTACTCAGGAGGCTGAGATCTGAGGATCGTGGTTCAAAGCCAGCCCAGGAATGTCCATGAGACTCTAATCTCCAGTTAACCATCAGAAAACTGGAAGTGGGGCCATAGCTCAAAGTGGTAGAACACTAGCCTTGAGCATAAAAGCTCAGAGATAGTGACCAGGCCTTGAGTTCAAGCCCCAGGACCTGAAAAAAAAAAGACAAAAACTTTGGACCAGGTAAAGATCACCTGGAGCTAAGTCTATAAATTACATTGTATCGTTTCCTCTCCATTTCTTTCTCTTTCTCTCTAGGATAGTCTTGCTAAGTAGCTCAGGCTGTCCTCCACCTTCAGATCCTTAACTACAGACAGTACTTTATCTTTCAGGGTACTGGGATTAATGAGATTAGTCAGATGCTCCTACTGGCTACGTCTTTGCTCTCTAGTGTAAGAAAAGCCGCCTTTTCTATCAAAGTGGGTTGCTCAAAAGTGCCTGTTTTGCTGGATGCCAGTGGCTCATGCCTGTAATCCTAGCTACTCAGGAGGCTGAGATTGGAGGATCGAGGTTCAAAGCCAGCCCGGGCAGTAAAGTTTGTGAGACTCCTATCTCCAAGAAACCACCAGAAAACTGGAAGTGGCGCTGTGATTCAAGTGGTAGAGGGCTAGCCTTGAACTGAAGAGCTGAGGGACAGTTCCTGGGCCCAGAGTTCCTCAAGCCCCACGACCAACAACAACAACAACAAAAGATGCACCTCAGATGGTTCAAGAAAGCAGCAGAGGGTGTGTGTTTTGCCTCTATACTAAAATCTTACCTCAAAGGCTTTTTATTTATTTATTTTTTGGCCAACTCTGCCTAACCCCATCAGCTCTGCCTCTCTACATATCTATCATTAGCTCTCATTTCTTATCTACTTACTGACTTATGCGTTGCGTGGCTGTTACCTGGCAGGTATATGGATAAGAGATTCTGGCTTTATTTTTGGCAGTACTAGATACTTAAGTATCTTGTACTTGCAATGCTCCTGGCTCTTCTTTGCTATACTTACTTTTTGTAT